GAATTGCACAAAATGTATAATTCCTTCAAAATGCAGGGTAGCTTCTGTAAAGCAGTAGAGTGAACCCTCCTACTTCAGATGACCCTGATGTATGATGGTAGAACTGAGTCGTGAAAACAAAATAAAAGCATTATTTAGACTTCACCTAAAATAGTAATTTATTTGTTTGTTTATAGAGCTTGTCAAGCATGCCAGCCAGTATTCTTTTCTTTTTAAAAAAAATATTTGGGAAGCCTACTTCTATCCAAATTTAGACATTTAAAAAGCCAACATGTTTTTAAGCACTTTTTGGATAAGATTTGAATTGCAGGCTAAAGGATAATTCAAATATGGGATTACATATAAATATTGTTCTAAGATATCATACCACATTATAGAATACATAAAACAGCCGCTAAACCTTTACCATACTCTACTAGGAAATTATCTTTTTCAGGAAATAACAAATATATGTTCATTTTGGATCTCTTCTGTCACCCCTTTGAAATTGGCCAGGTCAGGAAACAGATTCCACAAAGATTATTGGAATTTGGTTTTATTACTGTAGAGTACAATAATAGACTTTTGAAAGCCTGACAGTTCTTTCCCATCTCTTATATGAAAAAAAATAAAGCAGGAAAATCTTGAGTTTCTTTCTAAACCTTTCTTCTCTTTCAGAGCTAGGGTGATATTTACATAATGTTTTTGCATACCTTCAAGTTTTTCTCTGTATTACTCTACTCCTTTGCAATATATAATTCTATCAAACCATGGTATTCTTAGAACTACCTGCAAGGGATAGAATACGGAGATGCGCCTTTTAATGGTTCCAGCTGCATCTAATTACAGAGTTTAGAATATTTGAGCCCTTATTTGCTGCAATGTCATCTTTCCTATACAATATCTGTATATTTATTTACTTAATTATATTTCAATTTTTATGGATGTCCATCTCAAACTCATGATTCTGAATAGTTAACAGCAGCTAAAAAGCACCATATAAAAGCACACAATAAGATTAATACATAATTTGCATACATAATTACATAATCCATACATAATAAACAGACAAGGTAAAAACCAAAACAACCAGCAAATAAATCAGTACAAGTATTGCATTGGCTCTGTCATACATCTGGATCTCCAAGCTTGGTGACACAGCCCTGTCTTAAAAGCCTTGTAGAAAGCCAGCAGAATTGGGGCTAATGTAGTCTACAGGGGATTTGTGCTCCAAAAGGTGGGCATAAGAGAAAGACTTTTCCTAGATCTTACCAAATGACACTGATAGATGAAACCTGTAGCATGTTGGCCCTATGTTAGGAATTACCTTTCCTTACCACAATTACCAGCATGATGAACTAAATTCAGAAGTATACTGGCAACCAATGCAGCTTTTTAAGCACTGGTGTATTATGTGCTGATTGAAGAAAGCATACAACTAACTGCCTACTACTTTCTCTAACTGCCACAGCTTCTAAATGCACTTCAAGTACAGCCCCAGGTAAAGCATTCTGCAGTTTAGGAGATAATTAAGGAGTGAATAACTGAAGGCTCCACTCCAATATAATATGGAGTATAATATGAAGTTGTGCAAAGGCCCTTCTGCCCATGATTGCCATCTGCTCCTCAAACAAGAGCCATGAGTCCAGAGAACCTGCAAACTGCACTACATCTGTTTGGTACTACAACCCCAGCTAGAAATAAAGATGGAAAATTCCTGGTGGCTCCCAAGATTGAGCAGAGCTACTTAATCTTGTCAGGCTAAGTTGAAGCCCGTTCTTCTTATTCAAACTACCCCAGTCTTGATATACTAAAACAGAACCTGCATGCAATTATTTGAGTGATCAGGAGCAGAAATGTAAAGTTGGGTACAAACAATATACTAATTCCCAGCAATTTCAGTTTGGGTTAGATGCCATTTACATAATTAAATCAGGGGTGCGATTCAACTGATGTAACAACCGGTTCAATTAGCGTACACTTTGCGCATGTGCATGCGAAACATGCACTTTGCATGCGCGCAGAGCGTTTGCTACTGACCTTCAGCAATCTCTGTGTGTTAAACAGCTGACGCGCAGCAATCTGCTGTGCCGTGCGAATCAGGTGAGCTTGAAAAACCAGGATATAAAGCACAGACTAGAGCCAGGGTGGGCCCAGCAACTGATCGTCTGAGTGAACTGGTTCACTCACAGCTGATCCGGAGCTACGGGTTCGCCCGAACTGGGCTGAACTGGTGGAATCCCACCCCTGAATTAAATGACTTGATTAAATGAAAGATGTGTCCCACAGTTATAGAACTATATTGGCCCTCAATTCATATGATTTTTTTCCTCTTTTTACATTCTTATTCTACAACTGTACTATGTATCTTATTAGCATTTACTTATTAACTTAATATTCCTTTTTTCTTTCAGAAAGTCAAGGCAGTATATATACTGCTCTGTCCTCTTAATTTTCTCCATAGCAGCAACTATAAGGCAAGTTGGGCTTTAATAGAATAATTGTCTCAAAGTTACCCAGTGAGTTTCCATGGCTGATGTTAGATTAGAACTTGCATGAGAAATAAGCATGCTAGGATATTCAGGAAATTATCAAAGTGCAATGATATTTTCATACCAAATTAAGTACAGTATAAGAACAATTTTGTGTAGAATACATGGATACAACTGTTAGAGAAAATACACAAAGAAATATATAATTTTCTAACTTAGATGTAATTTCTCAAAAATTTTAAAATAAAAACTGAACATTTGGGGAAAAACAGCTAAAATTGAAAGACAGTTATAAATTAGTAATGGGTAATATATATATCTATATCTATATCTATATCAATGGTCTTACTCATGTTCACTGAGAAATAAGTTGGCAGAATTCAATGAATTTAAATTTAGAAAATAAGCACAAGCAATACAGTTTAATTAATCCGTAACCTGATTACTTGGATTAATTGTAGAACCTATGCTCTTCTGCACTTCCACAAATTGTATTCAGCCCTGCAATAGTTTTCATTTCATGTTAAAATATGATGCTAATATAAACTTCAAAGTATGCATTTTCCTACTTCAATATCCTGAAATTCCCCCCCCCCCCCCCCCAATTTAACCCCCCTTTAGCGAGGTAGTTTCCTTCCCCTGTCATATTTTATGGAATCCTGTAAAAAGTTTTTTTTTTCTTCTGAAAAGGTATTTTAAGAGTGAATGGAACGGCTAGGTAGAAGATAACTGCCACCTCAGGGTTTTTAACATTTACACAAAAATACCAAGTATTTCTCTACCTTGGCAGTAGTTGGGAATTCAACTTTGATGAAAGAGAGAAATAAATTGGAAAGGGCAGAAGACTGCATATTTATTACCATTTTAATAGCATTCATATATTTAAAAAGATAGAAACTAAGTATTCAGTGAAGTTAACATCGATATTACAGTTGGCTCACAACTGCTCTTTTTAACCTTTAAAATAGAGATCTTTGTTTTGTAATATACATAAAGAGCAGAGTTTTCTGTTTCATCAATGAGAGAATTAGCTGAAGTGGACAGGCCTATTTCATGGATTTATACATTTCTCCCTCCAATATTTAGGATTTATTTTATGAACTGAACATGCATCTTCAGCTGAAAGTAGAAGGATCAGTCTATAGACATTAAAGTTATTGTGATTTAATTTAATTTATTTAATTATTTTTGAAAAAATATTAATAATCCCTGCACATGAAAAAATGAAGTTTCAATTAGTGGGAGGGGTTTAATCTAGCTTTCTTCTGGTTTGTTTCTTGTTTTCTATTCTAGGTGCTCTTATACTTGCTCTTCTATCAATCCAAAAACAGAACTTAAACTGTGGCTTCTTATAGTACTTAATGTTTCACTCCACTACTGTATATAAAGATGCTGTGAGCAACAAAAGGTTTGTTCAGAAGTGATCCATTTCAAAAAACTTTTTGTATAATTTTGTTTAAAATCTTCCTCTTTGTGGACTTAATGCTGAATTGGTTATTCCAAATGACATACGGTAATTAGTCAATACAAGTTCTCATTTGTTAGCTGTGTACCATATTTTTCTTTCAAAAAGTAATAAAGAAGTAATTAAAGCACTTCAGCATTTAAAACTACAATGAATAAAGCTGTCTAATTCAGGAGTGATCCATCAGTAATACTGCAGCATGTTGCACAGGTAGTAATTAGAGGTTTAGAGATTATAAGAATGGATGTATAAAACACAGAGAACTCCTGAAATTTTTTAAAATTTGTTTTAGTTGAACTTGAAATAATTTTCAAGCATTTTACTATTTTGAAAAAAGCATTACATTTAGAAAAAATATGAAATAATAATACAAAAATGCTGGTACAGCAAACATCTGGTCAGTAAATTTTACACACATGATCACCTCCTTTTATATTTAACATCCATTTTACTTAAAATTGAACATTAGTAAAGTGGAAATGAATTTGTGTTTCAAGACATTATAAAATCCATCTAAGAATCACTCCAAAGTTAATAAATAATGATAATTTTGACTGATTTGATTAAATATCTGATAGGTAAATAGGTAACAACTCCAATATAATGCAGATTGAATGCAATGAAAATATTATAGTGATATTTCTGCAAAACAAATAAGATCCTTCACATAAGATCCTATTAAAAATGTAAAGTGCTAAAATATATTGTAAATGCCTCAAAACTGTACCTCATAATCAGAATTGTACAAATATAATTAATATAAAATTATTGGACCTCTTCCTAGCCTTCATATATAAATAACAAAAATCAATGTACATACATGCGTATCAGAGAAATCTTATATCTGCTTTTTTTAAATCCTTCTGAATTCAATAGCATTTCTTCATATAAATATAAAACTACAGTTTAATTGGGATATGGTTCTTTTTATGCTACATTCTGTTATCATGTAGTAGCTTCAGAGACTGATATTAAAACAGACTAAATTAAGTATTTTCTTTTTTAGGCTATCAGTGACCTTTAATACAAGAACACAGTCTAACAAATAATACTCTTTATCTTACCTATTTTTTAATCATTTCGGCCACAGTTCTGAAATTCCTTTGCAGGTATATTTTCTCACTGAATTCTAAAAAGTAATTTTAGTGTTCAAAGTAACGCAGCTCAGACTGTGTCATAGTCCTTTGTATTATATTATCTTCTTACTGAAGTAAAGAAGAAAAAAGGAGAATTAAAATATCTTTTAAAATTTGATCATAAACATTTGTTTCTTGTATTTGAAAATTATACTGACCTCATTTCTTTAGAATTGGGTTTTAATTTCTGGAAGCTTAATGAAAGGTTCATCAAACTTTAATCACCAATAAAAATTGCAGATTGTGTCACCTGGGGAACATTTATTATTTCAATGCTGAATAGCATATTGCTAATCTGTATATTAGCACATCTGTGTGAACATATTCCTAGAAGTTATTACTTCCTTTGAAACTATTACAAGGAGTTTACTGCAATACAAAACTGTCCTATTTAAAGCCAGAAACATTTGCTGTGACACTATTATTTATTTATTTAAAACATTATATAGCCTCCCGTCTTATATTGAACTCTGCACAGCTCCCTATCAGCAATTAAAACAATATCAATAATAAATCAACATAATACAAAAGCACATTGAAAGCATAAATGTTTTAAAAATTGACACCAAAGCTAAACTTCAACATATAGTCCCTCACAAAATCCTACCACCCACCTCCCCTTTTAATATTCCTTTTATAATCCATACAATTATTTGGTTTTCCAGCTGAGTTTTAACAACACACTACATTTCAATTACATGAAATATTATGGGTGTGCTGATTAAAGCAACAATATATTTATTCTACCTACTTATGTTTTTCCTTCAAATTGAAATTTGCATCACTAATCTATTGTCCCTTATTCTATTTATACAATTCTTTGTTCCAGGCAGAACAAAGTATTGATTTGTTTAAACCCAAAGCCAAACAATAAAAATGTCAAGGAAGGTTAAAATTATAGTCTAATGATGATATGAAATAATATTTTTGATGAGCAATTTTAAAAAAAAAGGCTGAGAAAAGGAAAACTGCTAGACATCACTTTTAATTATCTTCTTTATAAATTTGATCAAACAATGTAAAATTATCCAACTGAATTTTACTTAAAAGATTTAATGTTTTTAAAATATTGAATGGGCTATTTATATAGTGCATAGCAACTTCTATTTTTTATTGCGAACAGAGTAAACAAAGTATAAAAAAATAATTTTCAGATATATATGTTATGATAACTATCTTCGATCACACTGATTCATTACATATTTAGTTAAACTGTATCCTTGTTCCATTAAATATATAATTTAATTCTAACAATAATAATTCACAATTATCATCCAGACAAATCAAGATTTCTTTTTCCATGTGCTTCATTAAATCTAAGCTGCAGGGAAATGTATAGTTTTAAATGTTTTAAATTAGTATTTTCCATGTGCTGTTCCATAAGCCAGCTATTGTTTCCTTTGTCTTTTTTTCTACAATTCCACATTCTTAATCTTTCTCTTTGTTATATGTGGCATGGACATACACATCACTGTAAATATTCCCTGTCATATATTGGAATGGCAATATCACAGGTACTCCAGGGATAACTGTGTGAGCAAATAAACCTTACAAAGAAAAAAGAAGCACACACAGAGAGAGACACATTACACAGCAACAAAGAAAGAGCACAGTGGAATATTTTTTTCACAAGTAAAACATATAAAGATTTCAGATCAAGTAATGAAATGGCTCAATATTTCCTAAATGATCTGGGGAATTTAAGAATCACAATTGTAAATAGACATTGTTAGAAACTTCTATAACCACAGTCAAGTGTCTAAATATATATACCAGAGAACATCCCTTAGCATACTACAAATAGGCACTGACTATATTTTCATGTTTATTTTATGTTACATTTTTCGCATGACACATTGTAAGAAAATGTGGAAACTCTAGAGAATATGCTTGTAATTGGAGGGGGGTAGAATAACCATGGCAACAATTATCACATTCACAACTGTTTTTAAAAAATAATTTCACAACATAATTAACAATGGTAATTGTGCAGACGGTAGACATCAAGAAAGCATCAAATACTAATGGAGTTATATCAAATGACATCTTGAAAATGAAAACTAAAATCTGTCTCTATATGGACAATGCAGTTCAGAAACAAAGCACATACCATTATCCATTCAGGTGCTCTACTTCTTATTCTGCCCACATAGTTCTGCAGCTCCATTAGTCCAAAAGTCGACTTTGCCCTGCTTCTGATCTTTATGGGTAACAACAGCATCACACTGTTGGCAAAAAATTTTCCGATTAAACTTCTCAGACACGGTAGCAACTTTGTTAATTATGATATTAGGCAGCTGGCGGGCACGATCAATCATCCACTATAAGAAAGCCAGACAACGAGACATCTAATCATTGCAACCAGAGCAGATAAATTTTGTTCCTTTCTTATACGTGTCAGAGATTCTATCTCTCCTGACCCCTGAACACTGCCATCGACTGTCAAATTTAGATTCAGCAAGCTTCCAGCTTTTCTTTATTCCTGCCTTAGATCTGAAAGTCCTGGTTATCAGGAAGACAAGCGTCACCAGCTGTCTCAGAGCAGGAAGGCAATCAGGTGAATAGTACTTATTATCTTTCATTGCTTGCTAAGGAATGACAAGATGGATTTGGGACCAAGAGCACATCCATATTTCAAAAATAGACTTCAAGTTCAAACTATGATGCATATGTAAACCTCTACTGAGGATTTCAAGGCTAACCTTATTGATAAAACACACTTAAAAATTAAAAATTAGACAGAACCTCTTTAACATCTAGACAATTCCCCTTTAAATTATGACACAAGCTATTCCCATGGACAAAATAGGTGTTCCAACTTCTACCTGGAGGTTGCCTTTCACAAATAGATGGTCTTAATTGGACCCCCGAAAGCAATAGGCTTCCATTAACGTCTTCTCTGTAGGTACCTTCTGTCTTAACTAGACTGATTGTCTGTGAAGTCTTACAAATGCAACAGGCACAATTTTATCTGTTACATTCCTAAATGGATGTGATATGTTAGGTAATATTTTATTTTTGCTCCTGAAATTACAAAATATATTGCTTACTTAAAATAGGAATTAAAGTAGATATTGTAAGGTTTTGAAGAAAAAATTATCAAGAAAAATTAAAAATACATTCATAACCAACCATAAAAAGATTACACTAGGTTATGTTATAATAACTAAAAGCAAAACACCTTGAATAAGCAGGATGGTTCTACAAAATAGTACGATTTTTTCTTTTTGCTAATTAATATTAGCAGTTGTTAGAGGTGTTATTAATAAAGTGGCAATGTGAAGCTCCACTTTAACATGTCATTATTGCAACAATAACTCACATTTTTTAATCAAAATATTCCTCAGGATTATATTTTCTCTTAAATAATTGTAGGGTTATGAGGCAAACCATTACTTAGAATTGTCATAAAACTATTAAATTTATTATACTGTTCTTGAGAATAATTAAAAGATGGGACATGAATAGAAAAAGGAAGAAAGGAAAGTTAAAGGAATTCTTAAAGGAAGTTCTTATAATATAAAGTACACTAATGATGACATAAAGTACAAAATAGCTTGCTTCTTTCCTAATTAATTACCTATTGTGAAATTACTAAACAGGAGTATTTATCTAATGTTTAAAAATATATTAAATAAATTCAGAAAAAATAACAGGCCATGTGAATAACAGTATTAATTTGAATTGACTAACTCCCATTAAGCTGTTCATTATGGATAAAACTGCATCCTAACTATGCCAAATAACAATGTTTATTCATGTTAAACCCCACTGAGTTTGCTGTCTGGTAAATATGCTGTATTTTATTTTTAAGAGTATACAAAACAGCACACTGCTTTCAAGAAAATGTTCCGTGTTTGTGCTATTGTAGTATTTTTTAATGTATTAACTCACTGATGTTTGTCATCATTTCTTCCCAATGTTTTGACATAATTCAGTTTACATCACTGTAGTCCACAAGATAGCAGAATATATTTTAAAAATCATTGCCACATACACCCTATATAGAATGAAGAACTCACTGAAAATTTTCACTGCTGAAATATATACATAATCAAATACATATGGGGTGTGGGAAAGCAATAATATCTTCAAAAAAGGGAAGACATTTTTAATAATAGAAATCTTGAAAAAAATTACACATACAGTAGAAAGGATGGTATTACATTTCCAATGTTATGTCTCTTATGTTCCACAAGTGAAAAGCTAGTGCCTCAGAATTAGTATACAGGGAATTAAATAATGGCTTACCTATTATCTAAAATGTAAATAATCTGTAATAATATATTACATTCTTTCCCAATGTATAGCCTTCCATACAGATTTCAATAAAGCTACCATAATACCCAGCCAGATATTTTATTAATAGTAAACACTTTACATTAAAAGTTCTTGAGATTTTTTTACACAAAAAGAGACCTCCATACCTGGGTATCGAAGGAAAGGCCTAGGAAGGACAAATGATATCCCGGGCATAAGTGTATAAGGACAAGCGCTTTGTCATGTGCATGTCATCACCTTGATTAAATTTTGCTTTGCTGTAGACAATTGTTCTTCCATGATATACTAGAGCTCTGTCAATATTGACTGCAACTTCTCCACTCCAGTCTTATAATATGAAATATTTCTAAAATTCTTATCAGGATAACCTGAGACAATTAAGCCCTCTGTCAAAATATCAGGTTGTAGTGCACTGAGAACATTTCTATAATCTCTACAGAATTGTAGGGATTATAGCATCCATACAGAATTGTATCCCTACAGAATTCAAGCTACTAATAGAATGGAACTAGTAGCTTCCCTTTGACCTTATTGCTGTAAATCCTAATCCAATCCTTTGGTTTCAGAAATCTAAAAATTGCAAGTGCAATTTATGAATTGATTGCTTGATTTCTGTGAATTCCACAATATCACAATTCTGTAATAATGTAGTTGAACTATGCATTGATCTCTATTAAATGTAGGGTGCAAAGCCTGATAATTAAGTAAAAATTCAACTTTCATTCATGATAATCATTGTCAAATATTGAGCCAAGTACCATAAGATTCGGTCCAATACTATTCTACATTTTTAACAATTTTCATTGCAAAATTATTCTGGAGAGTTAGATGAATCGGTTGAAAACAACAGAATAACATTTGACATAAACAAAGCATAGTTTTGCACTTAGGAAACAAAATGAAATATACAGATATAGTTTGGGAAATGCTAGACTAGTAAATAAGATCTTGGAACAGCTGTTGATTTCATACAGAGAATGAGTTAAATATGTGATGTGACTGAAAAAAACCAGGTAGCATCAACAGAAATATTATTTCCAATAATATCATTATCGCATAATGAGTACTAGAAACAAAATTCTCTAAAGAGAGATAAAAGGAATTAGGAATGTTTAGCTTTGACAAGAAAAGCATGCAAAGGTATATGATGATGACACTTTCCAAACATCTGAAAGGATGTCACAGTTGAAATTCAAGGAGTCACTATTGTAGCAGAGTAAAAGGCACAATAATAGATTTAAGTTTTAGAAAAGCAATTCTATTTCAGTGTTAGAAAAATTCCCAAACAGTAAAACAGCCAAAAAACGGAACCAATTATTCTGAGAAGTGATTGGTTCCTTTACTTGATTTATTCAAGCAGAACCTTGATAATATTGATGGCAATGCTTTAGTTTAAACTCCAGCACTAAGAAAATGGGATTCAGTAATATAAATATCCCATTCTTACTCTGTGATTCTATAATTCTACTAATCTGTATGTAATACTATAGTATTTTTAAATACAACATAAATTGCTTACTACCAGGAAAAGGCAGAGCCCTCAAATTCCATTAGAAAGTCCTATAAGAAAAGAAACAATGTTACAAAGGAACTGAGTGAGGGATTCCATTGGTCTGGAATTCTCAGTTGTATTCATTGATGGAAATCTGGTTTCTAAAATGAGCATTCAGTGGGTTTGAATGGGATCACACATTTATTCAACATTATAGCCATGTTAGAAATTGCTCACTAGTTTAATGCATCATAACAGGTAGAATTATCCCATGTTCATTATTCTTGTTACTGAAACAAAATATTTAATTTTATGCAATCAAATTGCCAACCTTGGATCTCAAACCAACAGCCTAACTACAAACCCAAGCTACCAAATATTCAAACACATTTCAATATATTTAATTATATTGAATTTAGGCTTTTAATTTGAAAATACTATTTTTTTAAAGGTCCCAATAATCAGTGAATTTATATTTGCAATGTGGCGATTGATGCTTCAAAATATCTCACAACAGCAATAAATGTCAAATCATTAATTACTATCATGAATATTACTAAAAGTATTCTCAGGCAAATTCCAAATAAACTGAATAATCAGTATGTTATAGTATACAACTATATTAGGATCTGAAATATTTTATTTACCAGCATAATTGACATTTAAATCTCATATAGAAAGTAATAGCAAAACTTTGGCAAGAAAACTTCAATATTTCAATATTCAACACAACTGAATGAAAAAAACAAAACAAAACCTCAATCGTATTTCTACTGCAGAAAATTATCAGTTCATTCTGATAAACTGCTTCGGTAAACATGTGTGAAATATTTGTATCTATTCATTTGCTTTGTTCATAATTTTGATTTTTATGGAGCTACTTTGCATGTATCAGCTACATTCTTTAATCTATTATTTTGGCATGAATGGAAAGAAACTTCTACTTGTTTACCAGTCCATACTTGATTGGATTGAAAGTATAGAAAGGAAATGTATTACAGCGGTAAAGATATTGGAGATATCAGCGTAGAAGTCATTTCTTGGCAATGGAAGTCACTGGTGACTTTAAACCAGTAGCTGTCTCTCTGATCAAATTATCAGTTAGAATTATTGTAATGGTGAAATCTAGAAGAGTGAAATTTGAACTTCTTAAGAAAAGGCAGGACGAAAATCTAAGAAACAAATTCAAATACAGTTTTGAGAGATTTTAGATATACTCAGAAATGTTGCCATAAGGTAACTCTAACTTCTTATTCATATAAGTCTTACTTTCACATACCTATTTATAAGATTGCAATAAGAAGGCAGAAAAGTTCTATTGATGATCATATTTTATAATTTATTCTACTACATGGACCATTCTGCTGCAACAACACGTATATTTTATTTAAAAGCAAAAAAAGACATCTGGAAAAATTGCTATAAAATTTTGCCCCCAGCCCTTCAAGAAACCTTCAAAGCTGGATTGTTTCTAATAGATTATAAAACTACTACTTTCTAATAGTTTATAAAACTATTACTACTGCCAATGTTTTTAAAAAAATAAAT